CTGGAGGGCAGAAGCTCATTCATTCTAAGCTACAGCTCTGGCCCCAGTCTACAAACCCTGGATTCCCTATGTGTAAAGTTACAATACAATGCCTGTCATATATGCTGTTTAAGACTCTGTAGCCACTTAAGAACAGAAACAATGGTTTGGGGTCACAGAAGAAAACTGTCAAGTACCATGTATTCTCAAATACATGTATCCATAAGAAAGACCTACATGAGCAATTAAAAACAGCCCCAAATACTTGAAACTAGATTCTCTAGACACTTTTCAAGCCAACCAGAAAAAATCCTGAAAACTGCAAAGCACCTGGTTACATCTAATGATGGTCCTCTGGTGAGAAAGACCACTAAAAGCCATTGCTGTCTCCTGGCCTTATTTTGCTGAAGATATTGAGCTTCTCTATCGCCTTTTTCCACAGATGTAGACGATCTGATTCCTGTGTATGTCATCTGGCAAAGTCCAACAATGTAGCCACCATTTATGTTGTTGAAAAAAGCCTCAACAGCCAGCAGCTGCCTGAATGAAGAAAAGCCTCCAGCTTCAGTGGGAGGCCAGGAGCAAGAGACAGCTGAAGTCCCAGGTGGAGGGGCTTTCACCCAGCCCCTAGAGCCTGGCACTTTGAACTCAGCCTTCTAGCCTCCAAAATTAGAATAAATTCCTGTTTGTTCAAGCCCCCATCCCCCAAAAAAACCCCATGGCTTTCAAGTTGATATGGACTCATGGTGACCCTACAGGACAAAGTAGAACTCCCCCACAGGCAACCTTTACAAAAGCAGACGGCTTCATCTTTCCCCTAAAGAGTGGCTGTGCACACAGGCTCCTTCAACTAGACCAGTACTACATGGTAAGGCCCTGCATGAAGGAAAGGACTTGAGCCACAAACAGTTGCTTTAGGAAGCAGAGGTGCTCCAGAAGGGGCATATAGCAGCCTGGGGCCCTGGGGAAGCAAAGGTAAAGAAGCAGTGGGACGTGTGCCGCACTCAGGAGAAGCGGGCAATCCTCAGTGCTAGGGACATCACGACCAGAGGCCAGCATCTCTGGAATGGCATCTATTTACCCTTTTGGAGGGAAGGCATTTTTCAGATAAAGGTATGAAGGCATTCTAAGAATTCTGGACAAGATGGACTCCTCCTTTACCTCTCACCCCAGAATCTCTCAATGTGAACAAAAAGGTATAAAGGGAGGAATAGCAAAAATACTTTGAAACTTCGTCCCACTGAGGCCCTGGATGACTTCCCTACAAAGCCTCTCAAGCAGGTTAAAGATGCAGTGCCATAAAGTAAAATGAAGAAAGATGGGCTAGAAATCATACCATTTGATTCTCGCCTCAGCTGTTATGTGATCAAATGTCTCCTCTCCGGGCATATTTAATTATGAAATAAGAAGATAGAACAAATATTGCACTAAGCTTTTAAGACTGAAAAGCAGGATATTTTCAATATGCTGCCACCTACTGGTCACAGTATGGATCACACCTCAGCATAAAACAAATCCTGACAACTGGACTGATAAGCAACACCATGATAAATGGAGAGACTCTGAAGTTGTCAAGGATTTCATTTTAGTTGCATCCACAATCAACACTCATGCAAGTAACAGTCAAGAAATCAAACAATGTGTCGCATTGGCTAAACTGCTGCAAAATATTGTCATTTTGAAGACTCAGGTGAGCCTGATCCAAGCCATGGTAATTTCAATAGTCTCATATGCATGTGAAAGCTGGACCATGAATAATGAATAAAGAAGAACTGATACATATGAATTGTGGTGTTGGCAGAGAATATTACATATGCCATGAACTGCCAGAACGAACAAATCTGTCTTCGAGCAAGTACAGTTGGAATGCTCCTTAGAAGCCAGAATGGCCAGACTTCATCTCTTGTACTTTGGTCATGTTATCAGAAGGGACCAGTCCCTGGAGAAGGATATCATGCTTGGTAAAGTAGAGGCTCAGTGAAAAAGGAGAAGACTGTCAATAGGTGGACTGCTCCAGTGGCTGTGATGATGGGCTCAAGCACAACAATGCTTGTAAAAATGGCACAGGACCAGGCAGTGTTTTGTTCTGTTGTACACAGGGTCACTGTGAGTCAGAACCAACCCAACAGCACCTAACAACAGCAGGTCACATTTCAGGGTTTGCAGCGAGGGGATCAAGGAAACCTGTTACCTCACTGCCTAGCTACTCTTCAGGAAGGTCACTTTTGGGAAATGTGGTTTTACGCCAGGGGATAAAAGACAGAAGCAGCTGTAGCGCAGGACAAAGGGGCAGTGCCCTGCTTCAGAGCCGAGCTACGTGGTCGTTAAACGAGAGGAGCTTGCCTCTCAGGGTCTCTCTGGGGGCATCAATGGGCACCTAACTCCCAAAAGTTAGCAGCAGAGGCGGTCTCCTGGTAAGCCAAGCGAACTGTGCCTGAAGGGGGTCAGAGTAGGAGGGTGACTGTTAGGGTACTCTGGTGAGGAAAGGAAAGTGATCTGATGAAGTGATGAGGACGGGCCAACCTAACCCACCTCTGGACACTGAGTACAACCGCCAAGCACAGGAAGAAGCATGGCTGAATGTGAACTGGAGGGCAGCTTGGCCTTCAGCGTCCAGGGGAAAGGATTTCAGTCCTGAGTTAGGTAGATCTCAGAGCTGAAGCCTGTGCATCAACAGGCAGAAAAGACAGGTATTTCAGCAGCCAGCCAGCCTATGGTGGGTAGGAAAGGGAGACACGTATCGTGGATTTGACACTCCAAGATATTCGACTCCAGGGACAGAGAAAAGAAAAAACCACCTGAACAAGTGTGGGCAGGCTCCCCTAGCAAATCAGTGGGAGCTTCAACGGGCATGGGCAGAAGTGTGGGGTGTATGCCCTTGGAGACGCTGAGCACAAGCAAACGATGCTCACCACGCAGGGTGGACTTTGCCCAGAAACACTATTATTACCTATTACAAATTTTTTAACCATAAAAAATGAAGTTAGAGTCAACTATTTAAAGTCTGGGTGTGAATTATATGAGTTAATTTTCTATGAAAGAGAAAGCTGATTATGATGGCCTGTCAGTTAGGGACAACTTTCCTGATAATCTATAAAGATCCCTGGAAATGAGATTATGTTTTAATGAAAAGCTCCAACGATTCTGCCTTTAGAGCTCATCCCAGGAGCAGAAGGCTGCTGGGTATTACCTATCAAAGAAAGTTCTCACTATAGTTTTGAAAATTGAATGGAGTGGTTATAAGTTACTTTTTCCTCAACTTTGTTTCAGGGAAACTCTGTCAGCTGTTCCCTCAGACCTGAGGTTACCATTTCTGAGATTCCTAGTATCCTCCAGAAAGTCGTCCTAAGCAGCCTGGCCAAGATAGGAGACTCAGCTTGCTTTGTAGAACAGAGAAAAAGATAGCAGTGGTGGTGCCTGGATTTCCCTGTACCTCTCTCACTTAACTATATTATTAAGTGATTCCTGAATGGACGAGGGAGACAGGCATTTCAGCCCACAAAGGGATGCGTCCTGATGCAAGAAAGGAAACCGGAGGTTCCAGAGTTGGGGATCTTGATAAAGGGTGGCAGTGTGCTTCCTGCCCCAGCCACATTCAACAGACTGAACGTCTAGGTCTAGGGGTAGATACAAACTCTTCACACACCGGGGTACAAAACAGTTACCAGGATTATCATTTATCTTCTGTTTTTGGAGATCTGAGGTAGTAGTGGGAGAGGAGAGGGAACAGATGGTATGTGCCATTTAAATTGTTTTATAGGCCACAAACTAAAGATACAGATCTATAATTTATGAAGGAATACACTGAAGAGTAAACTTAAAAAAATTAGAGGTATTTCTATTACTATTTTAGTATTAATGTTAAAATTGGGAGAGTACAGCTTAAAAATTCAAAAAATATGAAGTGTACTTGAGTAGTTATATTCTTATTTAACAGAGTAGCTGAGAATAAAATAAGAAAAGAAAGAAGTTTTGTGAAAATCACAACCCTTTCAAAATCACGTATGACAGCATGGTCTTGCTTGAACAATTTGTAAACAGAGTTGTCCAAGGTCAGCAAAAATATTCTGACAACAGACGGACACATAACCATCACAAAAGCACAAGCTTTCTTCTTATATCAAGTAAGAAAACAGTTAAGAATATGAAGAAGTTGACTTATCTTTGATCAAAAAAAACCCCAAACCACACGACTATGACTCATAGAGACCCCTTCTGGGGTTTCTGAGGTGGTATCTCGACAGAAGTAGATTGCCCAGTTTTCTTTCTGAGCTGGTGGGTTTGAACCGCCAGCCTCTGGTTAGCAGCAGTCAAATGCCTTAGGCACTATGCCACAAGAGCTCCCTATACCACCAGAGCTCCCTATCTTTGACTAGGCTCAGAATAACGTCTCATTTTATCTTACAGAGTTAATGAGTGGCCTGTGCTCTGAATACTCTCCACATCAGTTTGCCTGTAAAATGAATCTGCTGGCATCTCTTCTTGATGTCACCTAAAGCCTGGTCACTTTAGTATTAACTCAGATGCCACAGTCTGACACGCAACAATGGCACCCCGATCGAATGCACAGCCCAGGCTCTGACACGGCTGGCTCTTTGTAATGGGTCTGTCTTTCCTTAGCTTTGCCTGCTGAGCTCATCTGCCACCCAAACAGTAGCCAACTTTTTAAACGCCCACACAGAACAGACCACATTCTGTTTGAGCTTCTCAAAGGGTGGGGGTGGGCTCCTTCAAAGGAAAATGAAGAGTGCTCACCAAAGGGAGGAGAAAAGGAGGCAGACATCTGTCTCATTCATCTGTTTCTCCACTGTAACCCAGCAATGCACCAGACACACATCGACTCCCTCAATACATGCTGAGTAACAGAATAAACCATACCGCTCAGGGGTGAGGGCTTTCTCTGTGTCTTCACACGTTTTTCTTTGGCGCTCCCTTATTTTTGACAAATAGCTACATAATACCGTTTTTAACATGAACCACCGTTTTTCAGGAGATGCATTCTCTCATTTCAGTCTAGTGTCTCAGTATAACTGGATAACCTCATCCCACTCAGAAATAGGCCAGATTCCATTGGGCTGCACGTTGGGCGGAGAGTGCTTCCAGTCCCACGTCTTCACAGGGATCTTCCAGGTCTTCCCATAGTTGGCTTCAATGTATTCAATGGTCTCACAAGGCACATGAACCTTCATGTCTACAAATTCAGTCCAGCAGAGTGTAAACTTGGGAAACAGGTATCTGTAGTAAAGCAGAGGGGAGGGGAGGGGTTAGGCTTCAATGGTGAAGGTTCTAGCGAAGGAACCCAGTTGGTAGTGTACCCCTGACAGTCATCTTCCATTAAACAAATAGCTCTAGGAATAGACACAATCAACATTTATATTGTTTTCAACTGTTTGGCATCCCTTTCCTCTTCAAATGTTAAGAACATCCCAGTTCTTTGGGGAGCCATCCCTCCTCATTCATAGCCTATATGGTTCAAGAGGGCTGACATCACCCCAAAGCTTCAGGGATGGGCAAAAAGATGCAGGCCACCAGCAAGTTACAGTGATTGGTTTAGTTAAGTTAGGCCAGTGCAAGTTACTCTGGATACTTCTGTGAATACTATCAGGAAAAGGTGCTTTTTTTTTCACTTTTTAAAATGAGATTTCTAGGCTGGTAGGACAAAATCCAAGCACTGCTAGTGGCCATCTTTGCCATTAGCTGAGAGAACCTGCAAGGGAATGAAGTCAATGCCAAAGGCACCAAATGAAGGTCAAATGACAGAGCAGTGAAAACCCTGGGAAAGTCCTTGGATTCAGCTGGAGCCACTCCTTAAGGATCTCAGTTAGATGAACAAATAAACATTCCTTTTGACAGTGGCACTGCAAATGTGCCTGACTTTGAGAACGGTCATGTCAATTTCTGTGCCCTGGTGACTCTGGGCAACCTACTTAGATCAGATAGCTAAGGAAGAAATTTCCAGAGCCAACCAGAGTATTTCCCCAACTCCTTTCCTAACTCATGGACTATTACAGTGAGAATTTCATACCCAAGTACGTCAACAAAGTAGGATCCTCTAAGTTGACTTTCTGAGGAAAACTTCACCTCCTTTTCCCCACAAAAGATGAATTCAGACCTAATGCTGGGGTGTGCTGTGCATCCCCCATAACCTCTGTAAGGAGAGCTATCACACCCACCTGCGTCCTGCTCTGCCTTTCACTTTACCACTTGCTCTTTTTCTCCCCTGTTCTCAGCCCCAAACTCAGTTTTTCTTACTTGTTTCTAACAGTTACACTTCGTTAAATCGCCATCAAACTCACACTGCTACTGAAGAACCTAACTAGAGAACACAGAAACAAACAGCCCACGTGCAAGCTGCACCTCCTTTCCTCTCACCCGGGTTTCCCAGGGATACAGAGCAAGCATGACTACAATGTGCATACCCAACTTCTCTCTGGCTTCCAGATGTCACATGAACCTACTACGCAGCTTCTACCTTTCTGAAGGTCTGTGGTCACCTCAGAAGACTACAGAACACCTCTGAAGCAGCCTCAGGAGCATTAGTTATAATGAACAATTTTAATCGTATCTGTTGCAGAACCATTTCAACTAATCGGTTAAGTTTTGGAAGTTAAATCAAAGTATGTTTCTTAAAGGTATTTTGGGATCAAGTAAATTAAATTTTATATATTGTAAAAGAAAGCTGAAACTAGCAGGTCTGTTAGATTTATTTTAAGTTTTTATTATAACCCTATATTCTGTCTTAGTGTTTTCTTAGAAATGTTTCTTCTCTTCACAATATAGGAAGAACTGTCAGTGATGAATTTGAAATGGCAACAGCAGAGATAACAAGAATTTAAAACATCACAGGATTAAAGGAAAAGAAGCAGGGAAAAGCCAGTCTCCAAAGTATACTCTTATTGTGGAAATGGTGTCTAACTGGGATGTTCTTCAAGAACATACATGGTATCAGTTCTCATATATTCTGCTTTTGAATATCTTATGTTTTACCATCAGATGAACATACACACAGACATGAGAAACTGAATAAATTCTAAGGCAAGCAGCAAGTCCCTTCTCCTCAAACCAATGGGTGTTGGCAGTTAGTGGACAATCCCAGCTGGTCTCTGTGAATAGATGGCTAAGGCAAATCTCAGAACTGAGGAAGAAATAAGATACAGCGTAGCCCAACCATCTGCTGTGTCCAATTTTACTCTGCACACTCATATTCATGGGGTTGCTTATTTAGTCATCAGATCCATCCATCCATCACTAGCCACCAGCCTCGCCAATCAGATGCTGGTCAGCAGAATGCCCACCTGTCCCATCCTATCAAGTTGACACTGAAATTGAAATAAGGCAGAAGTCATGTCTATCAAGCAACACAGACCAGGACACTTTGCTCACTCTTGTAAATATTAGCCTCTAAAGTCACATCAGAAAAAAGGAAAAAAATTATAGGTCCAGGATAGACAAGGTAGATGTGAGAACTACTGATTTTACGAGAGCAGTGTTTTGAACAAGAAAGAATGTATCAGCCAAAACACATTGAAGACAGAGTCACAAATTTAAACATTTCAACTATATAAACAATGTGAAAATACTTAAAAAGAATGTTAATTCTTGTCCCTAAACAAAAACATCCTGAGGCTTTGTGGTTTGTTTTTCCCTCAAATATTTCATCCAATGCATTCAGAAAAAAGAAAATTCCAGCTTCCTAGGAGAAGAAAGATAAACAAACCATAAAATGTGAAAACTGACAGTGAAACGAGATTGTGGAGAGGAAGAGGGGAGTGAGTGTCACAGAAGAGCACATCCCTGTACTCTGTCTAGGTTACCAGCAAATAAGGACTGAAATTGAACGGACTGAAATTCAGACTAAGACAATCCCAAATCAGAATGAGTTGATGGGATCTTTAAGTTTCATTACAGAAAATTTTTTCCATTCATTTTCAACTCATTTTATTTTTGCATAAACAGTAGTCAGAATTAAGTTAGTAGAAGATGACCAGTTTTTCCTCACCAAAAGAGAAACCCAGAAAACCCACTGCCATCAGGTCAATTCTGACTCATAGCAACTCTTTAGGACCAAGTAGGATGACCCATCGGGTTTCCAAGGCTGTAAATTTGTACAGAAGCAGACTGCCTCATCTTTCTCCTATGGAGTGGCTGGTGGGTTTGCACCACCAATCTTTATGGTTAGCAATCAAATGCTTTAACCACTGAGCCATCAAAGCTCCTTTATCTTCACGGGCATTCTTAAAATCTGGAAAGCTACTTACTGGTGCTAGTATAAACCAATCCCACTAGGTTAGCTGTACAGGGAGTTCCCACTTGGGTCATGTTCAATTATGACAAACTGCACCTACGAATGGCAGTTTTGTTTTTTATTTTTGGAACATCTTATCATTAGTAGTATAAAATACTACATAAAATACTGCAGGGCAGAATTTGATGATGTTAGCATTCTTGGATGTTCAAAGATTGGATTGATAAATACACTACTAATAGAAGGCAACAAAAATGAAAAAAAAAAAAAAAAGAGGTATCTTTCAGGTATTCTCCACTTTCAGCCAACATCCATCTGACATAGCAATGACAGCCCTTGCGCCATGCCCTCTTCTGAATCCAGCATGAATTTCTGGCAGCTCCTTGTCGATGTACTGCTGTACATCATACAGTACTGCTGTAACTGTTTTTGAATCATCTTCAGCATAATTTTACTTGCATGTGATAGTAATGACATTGTTCGACAATTTTCTAACTCCGTTGGATCACCTTTCTTTGGGATGGACACAAATATGGATCTCTTCCAGTCGGCTGGCCAGGTAGCTGTCTTCCAAATTTCTTAACATAGATGAGTGAGCACTTTGAGCATTACATCCATTTGTTGAAACATCTCAACGGGTATTCCATCAATTTCTAGAGCCTTGTTTTTTGCCAGTGCCTTCAGTGCAGCTTGGACATCTTCTTTCAGTATCACTGGCTCTTGATCATATGCTACTTCCAGAAATGGCTAAACGTTGTATATTTCTTTTTGGTACAATGACTCTTCGTACTCCTTCCATCTTTCTTTTGGTGCTTCCTGCCTTGTCCAACATTTTGCCTATAGACTCCTTCAATACTGTCACTTAAGACTTGAATATTTTCTTCAGTTCTTTATATATACATGTATATGTATGTATTACAAACAAAGGAAGGACAGAATAAAGCTTGTTGACAAAGAAGACTGAGAAGGCTTGGACAGCTGCTAAAAGCCATGAGTCAACAACTTAAAGGAAAAAAAAAAAAACGTGAGAAATAAAATCCCATAATTTTACTGGTATTAGAAAACTGCCCATTCATATGTTCTCCTTCTGAACAGTACAATCAAATAAAAGTAAAGATCCCATCCCTGAGATTTCCACTACAATTTAGCTCTCAAATATAACCAACAAAACAATCCTTTTCTTTACCTAGGGCTCACTAAGGTTTATCTGTGGATCTAGGAAGAATTTTGTAACACAATTTGAGAATTAATACTACATACATCTGCTGGATCTGTAACTTATCATCAGTGTTCTCAGATACCCACCTGCTATACTTGACTCCATCACCACAGCCACTGTGTCAATCCACCTCGTTGAGGACCTTCCCCTCCTTCGTCAACCCTCCACCTTATCAAGCATG